AGGCTCCGCAGACCTTCGGGTCGTCACGGGCTGCACTCGTGGGGTCTAGTTAATCTTCGGCTTGTCCTTCCTGGTGTGAGCGGGAGCCGAGTTGGTGGGTCCTGTAGCTCTTTTAAAATATACTGTGTTGACGTCAAATGCAGGAACGGGGCAGTCTTGATTCCTCGGCGGGTGTACCGTGTGCCCGTGGCATAGCACGAGGCAGTCACGTCAAGGAGAGCGACTCACGAAGGAGGAAAAGGTTAGAAAGGCTTACAGTATGGGTTTGGACAATTTGCTATAACCGGCTAGTCATTTTTAATCTAGTCACGTTCTCTACACTTTCCCAGCCTTTTATAAAATTGCTCTCCCACCAAACAGCAAAGCTGCTGCTGAGCGAATCCCTTATGTAGTAGATTGCTGAACAACTGCACTTTATTCTGACCTGGGACGTGCCGAATACTACCTTCAAACTGAAAAAAAATAAAGGTCTAAAAAGTGTGTCGAACCCGGCATACCAAAGGAAGAGTTCAGAAATACAGGTATCATCCTTAGTTGTCAGAGGAGGGAGTCACTCCCAAATCAGTCATGCCCAAGTCCAGGTTCATAGACTCAGACTCCATAAGCTTTGTTGATAGATTGAACTTATGTAGTCCTCAGTGAAGAATTGATTGCCATGATTTTTGAGGACTATTTCAATTTGCCTTGTCTTGTTTCTTTTCATAGGAAAGGAATAATGCTGTCAGCATGTCCGCACACTCCATGCTCTGTGAACGAATCGCCATAGCCAAGGAACTGATCAAGAGAGCGGAATCACTTTCTCGATCAAGGAAAGGTGGTATAGAAGGTGGTGCAAAGCTGTGCAGCAAATTGAAGGCAGAATTAAAATTCCTACAGAAAGTAGAAGCTGGGAAAGTAGCTATTAAAGAATCCCATTTACAGAGCACTAATCTAACACACCTAAGAGCCATTGTGGAATCAGCAGAAAACTTGGAAGAAGTTGTTAGTGTTCTTCATGTCTTTGGTTACACAGATACCTTGGGAGAAAAGCAGACCCTTGTGGTGGATGTAGTTGCAAACGGTGGTCATACGTGGGTGAAAGCCATTGGCCGCAAGGCTGAAGCTCTACACAACATTTGGCTGGGCAGGGGCCAGTATGGTGACAAGAGCATCATTGAGCAGGCTGAAGACTTCCTCCAGGCCAGTCACCAGCAGCCAGTGCAGTATAGCAATCCTCACATCATCTTTGCGTTTTACAACAGTGTCTCCAGCCCCATGGCGGAGAAGCTCCAAGAAATGGGCATATCCGTGCGAGGAGACATAGTAGCGGTTAACTCTCTGTTAGATCACCCTGAAGAGCTCCAACCAAGCGAGAGTGAGTCCGATGACGAAGGCCCTGAACTTTTGCAAGTGACCAGAGTAGACCGAGAAAATATACTAGCAAGTGTTGCGTTTCCAACAGAAATTAAGGTTGATGTGTGCAAAAGGGTAAATCTGGACATTACTACTTTAATCACATACGTATCTGCCCTCAGCTATGGAGGCTGCCACTTTATCTTCAAAGAAAAAGTGCTCACAGAACAAGCCGAGCAAGAGAGGAAAGAGCAGGTGTTACCACAGCTGGAGGCGTTTATGAAGGACAAAGAGTTGTTTGCTTGTGAATCTGCTGTCAAGGACTTTCAGTCTATTCTAGATACCTTAGGAGGACCTGGGGAGAGAGAGAGGGCCACTATGCTAATTAAACAAATTAATGTGGTGCCAGACCAGCCTTCTGAGCGTGCCTTGAGACTAGTGGCCAGTTCAAAAATCAATAGCCGCTCATTAACAATTTTTGGGACGGGAGACACTCTAAAAGCCATCACAATGACTGCCAATAGTGGTTTTGTTAGAGCTGCCAACAACCAGGGTGTTAAATTTAGTGTGTTTATCCACCAGCCCAGAGCGCTTACTGAGAGCAAAGAGGCCCTGGCCACCCCCTTACCAAAAGACGACACAACTGACAGCGAACACTAATGATATCCTTTAAATATTGTCATGGAAGTAAGTTACTTATACCAAAGGCTGGGTCTTCCCATCTTAAATGGGGAAGAAAAAAAGGTCTATAGTACACATAACATTTAGAACTCTTAAACCAGTAGAGTTGATTGTGTGTGTCATCTATAAAATATATAACCTCCTACAGCAGTAGCAAAAGCACAGGAGACAATCTTATTTATCAGACTGTCTACATGATAGCAGTTAAGAACAGAAATACATCTATATTAAAGCTTTTAGCTGTGTTGTAGTACTTTTGTTTGATTGAGTAGGGCAACAGCCCCCTAGTGGTCATCAGCATTTCATGGAATATGGCTACACTGCATCTTGCATTAAATATCTGGAGAAAACTCTGAAGCTTGTTTTTCATTATGGTGATTATCAGTTGATGTGGGTTGAGGCTGGGAAGTAATAGTTTATGATTAGTTTTAGATTGTAAAGTTATGGCCATTATCAATGAAAAGGAACTTCCTTGGTTGCTACGTGTCAGGCATACTCTGGTGGTTAAAGAGTACATTAATGTAGAGGAAAATAAAGTGAATACTGGTCATGGGAGTCCCATGAGCCTATGGATACTCCTTTGTGAAAAGAAAGGTAAGCAGCAGTCCCACTCCTGTAAAGCTGGGACATTTAAGGCAAAATCGTAATTTGAATAAATCGTAAAAGAATTAAGCATTTAAATCACATTTTACTTTAAAGTACAAATAGTTCCCATAGTGCAAGTATTTGACTTATAAATACTGCCTTTACTGTTTCTTTTGCAAGTGGCAAGTAACAACTGCATTTCTTCACTCTTGTGAAATGGTGGTAGGGGAGATTCCATACTTGTTGCACGACACAATTTGTAATTAAAAATAAATTTTTATGTCCACATTGCCCTAGGTGCTTCATTTACAGCAAAGCAAAACAAAATTAGCAAAGTAGATAGGTACTGACAGCATTTTAAAAAATGGGACATTACACCTTGGAGCTTAAGTGTTAATGCAAGCTAAGCGTAGGAAATGGTATTAGAACACATTGCCACAGCCTAACCTCTTTCTGTTGCGCCAACTTTACTGTTCCGTGAGAAGGGAAACTCAACTTCTAGCCACAGTGTTTGTTGGGGGCAGGGGGGTAGAATTTGGTTATAGGATGTCCGTGAACACTGAGATGAAATGAAAAAGTAAACTCGGGGGTGTTTCTCTTGGGAGAGATTCCATTATTAACTAGGAACACATTTCCTAGGGGAAAAGGCTGGCATTGGGGTTCGCATTTAGTGGGGAGAGGTGGATTTAACTTGTATTGCAACTGAAATTGTGTAGTGTTAGAAATCGGGCTTGGGCCTTTTCAAGCACTTATTAAGGTACTGAAGTGCTTGGTACTATTAAGTACCGAGCATTATTATAATAGTTTGGTCTAAAAAAAATGAATTATTGGTCTTTGCACTAAGGAATTCTTATTCTGAAATGGAGCTGAACAACTGAAGTGCGATTAACTTATTGAATGTTGTCATGAGTCAGGCACAGTATGAAGGGCTGAGCTTTCAAGGAGTAGCAGGAAGAAGGTAGATTTTTATTCCTTTCTGCTATGAGTTGGCACCAAAAAACTTGAATCTTTGCCAGCCACGATGTGTACAACCACAGTACTCTTTGAAGAAATTAATTTCTGAAGTGGCCATACCTGTGCTTCTCCCATGATCATTAACCTTTTCTAGACATCCAGTTGTTAACAATTCCCAACAATCTAGTCAATAATGCAAGCACTAGATATGGACACGTGGTGGGGCACTGGATCCTAAAATATAAAGAAGTGCCTTCTCTAGAAAGACATACATGCACACTCCACCTATATATATCCTAGACCTGTTACAGCCAACCAAAGGAAAAAAAATTAGCAAAGGTAAAAACTTAATAAAAGAATGAGAAAAGAGAATGTTGTTAAATAGTTAAAAACTGTCAAGTCCAAGGAATCCTATGGTTATAAAGGAAATGAGATGTCCAAAATGTTATGAGGAGTGGATATACATAATGTAAAAACTATGGCTACGACCAAGAATTAAACACAGTGGGGGAAAGTAAAAGCGTGTTAAGGCCTCATCTTCTTTAGAAGGGAGTCAACAGCAACTTTGTCATTTTTGCCATTGAAAAATAGAACAATATAATTTGAGGTGTCAAACAGGAAATGTGACTGATGGTGTAAGTTAAACCAAGCTGACTCGCTTTCAAATGAGGGGTGAGGATGGAGAATAAATCTAGTCCATATAGGTAAAGACAAGCCAGAAGAACTCTCAAGGGAGCAGAAAAACCAGAAAGCATAAAATAAGACATGTAAGACCAAGAAGGATATAAAATAGCTGGGGAGAAGATAAATTAGTATAGGGAAATACACTGTATTTGTATATTGTCTGGATAAATTTGGAAATCTCAATGAAATAGAATCGAAGAAATAGAAGACCTAACTAACCAATAGCCATTGAAAAAATTACAGAGTTATTAAATAATGACCCAAAAAATGTCCAGGTCCAGTTAGCTTCATTAGATAAGTTTTTGCTTACTTTTAAATATCAAATAATGCTCTTGCTTGAAAAGTAACGTGGAGCACAACACTATAAGCCACATGGAAAATATGCAACATGGTCGCTGTGGTGTTCTCTTTGCTGCCCCTCTCCTGTCTGAAGAGAGCTCTGGCCTGCTCCTGCTTGAGGGCAGGGCCTCTGTGGAGGGCTGGAGCCCTTTGGCTATTTTGGAATTCATGTGACAGTAGGCTGGTCATCTCATGTCATTACTGTATCAGGAATGTTTTCAAATTCATTTTATGGAATATAAGCATAATTCTGATACTGAAACCTGACATTGTATCCTGAAAAAAAAAAAAAAAAAAAGCTACAGCTAAGTTTCAGTTTTAAGAATATATGCACAAACATCTCAGTTAAAATGGGAGCCCAGGCAGAGAACACCTCACCCCGTGGGAATATTGTTTCCCAGAGGATGAAAGGCAGAGATGAGTCCCCAACCTTAATACTGGGGGTTTGGGGATTAAGCTCCATGCTGGGGTAGAATCAGAGACCTAAAGCTCACTTGAGATGAGGTTATCCCCAAGACGCCTGTGTAAAGCCAGAACCTTTGAAAATCTGTGGCCCCATGAAAGAAGATCGTGCAAACATTGCCCAGGAAGGCAGCAAGGAAATTTGACTCTAGTGGCTCTGAGCAGAAGAAAATAAGTCAGATTTGGGCTTGATTTGCCCAGCCCATGCTGTACATGGGTTTAGAGACCAAATTCTATTAGTAGCTTCCTGAGGATGTAAAATTAGTATAAAAGTTGTCTCAGGCAAGTACTATCCCTCAGACACCTGACAGAAATGTATGTGGCATCATTCTGGGCTTGGGGACACTTCAGTTTCCCAAGTCTCACGTAAGCGTCACAGAGTCCAATGGAAAAACCAAACTTGGCGTGGATGAGCTTTCAGTGTGACATCCTGAAAACATGAGGAAACCCACCATCAGTGAATCAGCAACACAAAGAGTTCCTCAGTATTGGGGTCTTTGATCTGTTCCACGTGTATGTTCTGGGGACAAGAGGAATAATCCAGAATGGCAAATGGAGGCTAAAATACCTTTTGCAACAAAACATTGGGTGCAGCTAAGTTGGAGGATGTGGTTTATATCTACAGAAAGAGAGCTGGGTTAGCTCAGGTAGGGTTTAGCTCAGGTAGCAGATGCTACCTACCCAGTCACAGGTTGTGCTGGCATTGTGACCGGAGAGCTTGTCCCTTGCAGAGCTGCAGAGAACACCGCATCTGTGGGAAACTTGTTTCCAAGAGGGAAAAAGAGATGAG